CGGCCTCGGCTACCTCAGAAAACCCCATTCCTTCGACTCCCCACCGATATTGCCACCCTCAGCCTCCAGACTCCCGTCATCTTACCTTCAGGCTGCGGCTGCGCAGCTGCTGCCTGGCGCAGGCTACCTGGCCGGCATGTCGGGGCTGCGCGAACTGCACCAGTACCGCGCAGGTCTCATGGCGCCCCACCACTACCCACCATCCTTCACGCACCTCCTGGCGGGGCTCTCTTCCCGCCCCAAACTGCCGGAGGCGGATTACGCGGCTCTTCTGGCTTCGGTTCCAGCCTTGCAGCCGCCATTGGTAGCCCCGCCGGCCCCCGTCACGCCCCCAGAGCCCCCCAGAGTCGGGGCTTCTTCCAGGGGGCGCTCTTCTCCCCCGGCGGTTACCTCAGGAGGCGTCGATCAAGACCGTCGAGCGTCGTCCATCGCCGAGCTGCGCCTGCGAGCGCGGGAACACGAACTGCGCCTGGAGATGCAGCGCAAACACGGCGATGTTGTGACCTGAGCGCAGCGGCGCACCACCGCGCTTCCCGCCCGCACGTTGGGCCAAGGAAGACCTGCGCGCATTACGCTCTGAATCGGTGATTATGGAAGCAGTGAACTGGTGGTGATTGCGGTGACTAGCGAAGCAGTAGTCACCAGAGACAGTGAATATACTGTGCAGTAGTGAGTCACTGGAAGCTGTGTACAGGACCTGGCAACAGTGAGTGCTGTAGAAGGTAGTGAGGTAGCGGGCTGCCACGGTGGCACCAGCTGCAGTGCCACCAGCCACGGTGCCACCAGCTGCAGTGCCACCAGCCACGGTGGCCACCAGCTGCAGTGCCACCAGCCACGGTGCCACCAGCTGCAGTGCCACCAGCCACGGTGGCCACCAGCTGCAGTGCCACCAGCCACGGTGCCACCAGCTGCAGTGCCACCAGCCACGGTGCCACCAGCTGCAGTGCCACCAGCCACGGTGGCCACCAGCTGCAGTGCCACCAGCCACGGTGCCACCAGCTGCAGTGCTGTAACAGTTGAGGTGAGTGGAGGCCTGAAGGATGACCTAACCTAACCACTGTGACCCAGGGAGATGAGGCAGGGTCACGTTAGCCCCACCTCGGAGAGTTTCCAAGATTAGCGAACTAATCCTTCGGCCGAGAAGTCACCATATCCAGCTTCAGCTCTGTTAATCCAACGGAAACAGGAGGGAACGAAGAACATAAAATGCTGAGGACAAAATACGACTGAGTTACCTCCTGTTTCCGTTGGATTAACAGAACTGAAGCTGGATATGGTGACTTCACAGCCGAGGGATTAACTCACCAACCTTGGAAACTATTTGAGGTGGGGCTAAGATGACCCTGCCTCACCTCCTTGGGGTCACAGTGGTTAGGTTAGGTCACCTTTCAGGCCTCCAGTCACCTCAACTGCTACAGTGCCTCAAGCCGTAGTGACTTCCCACGACAGTGCCACCAGCTGTGGTGACCTCCAAAGACAGTGCCACCAGCCGCAATAAAACAGGAACCCGCTACTCTAATGGTCGTTACGCTCTATAGCAGCCAGCCACTTAAGGTGCTTCTTGTGAATCCCAAGTATTGCAGTATTTAAGTTTTAACATTTATACCTGTGTTGCAAGGGACTAATCCGTCCAATGAACTGTGCTAACTTTTACTAACTTAGTGAATGTACCTATGTGAGTACCTCATCCTTAGATTAAGTGTTACTAAATCTGAGTAATTTTTGGCTTTGACATGACTTAGGCAGCAAGTAGGAGAGCTGAGAGTCCCAAGGGGCATCCCAAGGCTCATTCCTCTCTCTCTATACTACTTATGTGGTCCCATTTCAATACAGTTTTACTATATGAAATTGTGTTTCATTCATTCCAGTGTTACATCAAGACTATATTCATCATATTGAATTTCGCCAAATGGGCAAGATGAATAATTCTAACATTAATCTCCCTATATGACATTCTTCTAAACTTTTAGAAGTTAAATAAGACAATATAACATTTTTTTTTGTTCCTGGCTACTGTTATTTTTTGGTGGCTAATGCCTCCAAAGTTCCAAAGTATAGAAATTTGCTGTTATTTCTCTCAAAATTTGCCCTGACTTCTTTAAGTCAGGGCAAAGAAGAAAGACTTTACCTAAGAAAGCTTAGGTAAGAAGACTAGATGGTACCTTAATTTTGTGTTTTGTTTAGTAACAAACTTAGGTATACGGAGCAATGTGCTGCTATCCTACGCTATATAAAAGATTACAAAGTGTAAGATAACAAAAAACTGGCTATAATTTTCATCTAATGTTCCCATCTCAGGTACCTTAAAGGCAGCCGTCTTATAAAACAATGTGTCACAGCTCAGGATAAAGGAGTCAGCAGCAACCTGTCCTCTTAAAAAGAACGTCGCTTTCGGCCGTTTGCCAGTATGGCCGAATTTGGACGTAATTTGAAAATAAAAAAAATTGAAAATAAATTTGGGATTTTTTTTTCAACAATAGTAAGTTAAGGATCCTCTGATAGGTTAGGTGGGCAGGAAATTCTCATAAAGTTTCAAAACGTTATGAAAAACGTTAATTTAAAGTGTCCTCTTATAACCTCTGCGCGTACGCCGGACGACTCAAATAGAAAACGGAACAGAACGTCACTTTTGTGAGTCGATTTCATTTCAAATTACGTCCAAATTTGGCCACAGTGCGCATACGAGCCAAAAGTGACGTTATTTTTAAGAGGACGGGTTGCAGCAGCTGCCAAGTACCTTAATCGAGACGTCTTCCCTAAGAAGCTGTCTAGACAAAGTTTGAGGGATGTGGAAAACAACCATTTGCTATGATTTAGAGGCGTAAGCAATCGCAACACTAATCTGGAACACACACACACACACGCAAAGTTACATTGTATAATCACAAATTCCATTCGCCTGGGTTCTATAGGAGGCTCGAACCGTGGTCTCCTCATGTGTCTATCTGCCGAAGCTCTATCGACCGAGCTATTGAGTAGTATTAATAAGGAAAAGTTAGGTGAATGGAATGGTTATTTCTACTGAAGTGTGGATGACAATTTTATGATCACAAATAACATATTACTGGCTCTAAAGTATACATATTACATTAAAAAAATATATATAATTGTTCCTAAACATAAATGACCAGGTCTGGTCGAGGACCGGGCCGCGGGGACGCTAAGCCCCGAAATCATCATCGCAAGGCAGTTTGTTCATTCGATATACATCCTTTAAATAGTTGCAGAATCAAGCTAAGTATTTAATTAGAATTGGGACAACTTGAACTGGACGGTAGAGCGACGGTCTCGTTTCCTACAGGTCGGCGTTCAATTCCCGACCGTCCAAGTGCTTAGGCACCATTCCTTTCCCGCGTCCCATCCCAAATCCTTATTCTCATATTCCTCCCAAGTGCTATATAGACGTAATAGCTTAATGTTCTCTTGATGATTACATTTCCTATGGGTGAATTTCTTCTAAAAGATACACCTAGTTAACACAATTATTGCTACGAGTTTCACTAAGTGAAAAGTCAGGTTAGATGGTGACATTCTAAACCACACGAAACGCTAAGTACCCACTACGGTCGAGGACCGGGCCACGGGGACACTAAAGCCCCGAAATCATCTCAAGATAACCCTCAAGATATACGTATTTAATAAGATCTGTGGTATAAGGCGAGTTATTAATCTTACAATTAGTTAATAATTCAGAGTTTCTTGGGTGCAAAAGCGTTCAGAGGTAAGATTGTCACCTCTTGACCCAAAACAACGTGACAATCCCGTTCGGGCTGACTCGACGGCAGGTCAGTTAAGGTCAAAGAAACAATGCGTATAGGCAGTTAAGACTGGCAAATATAACTGACTCCAGAGCCGCAGGACAGTCTATTATGACACTGGGGGATGAAATTTAGACACTCGACCATCATATCTGAAAATAATGGAAGTGACGACGTTTCGGGCCATCCTGGAGAGAGATTTGATAATGGTTTTTAACATGGACCGAAACGTTGTCAATTTTCTCCCCTTTTTTTTACGTTTTTGTTTTCCAGATATGTGGATTATGTGTCTAATTAACACCTATTTGTACTCACCTATTTGTGCTTGCGGGGGTTGAGCTCTGGCTCTTTGGTCCCGCCTCTCAACTGTCAATCAACTGGTGCACAGGTTCCTGAGCCTATTGGGCTCTATCATATCTACACTTGAAACTGTGTATGGAGTCAGCCTCCACCACATCACTTCCTAATGCATTCCATTTGTCAACCACTCTGACACTAAAAAAGTTCTTTCTAATATCTCTGTGGCTCATTTGGGCACTCAGTTTCCACCTGTGTCCCTTAGTGCGTGTGCCCCTTGTGTTAAACAGCCTGTCTTTATCAACCCTGTCAATTCCCTTGAGGATCTTGAATGTGGTGATCATGTCCCCCCTAACTCTTCTGTCTTCCAACGAAGTGAGGTTTAATTCCCGTAGTCTCTCCTCGTAGCTCATACCTCTCAGCTCGGGTACTGTGTGTGTGTGTGTGTGTGTGTGTGTGTGTGTGTGTGTGTGTGTGTGTGTGTGTGTGTGTGTGTGTGTGTGTTGCAGTTTCAAGTTCTCAAATTATTCATATTACAGTTTAATTAACACCGATTCAAATTATATTTCAAGTTACGATTATCGAAGCTTATGATAGAACCTCGATCGTAACCACGCGCACTACGATCCCCCTTTGAAGAATAAGACTTAGCCAGTTACGATATCCTTCCCCCCCCCCCCCTCCTCCACAAGAGGCAAACCTTACGCCTCTTGACTGATGATACAGCAGGCAAATAAACATCATCAAATGAAGCCATCATGTGGCATCCTCCGAGACGATCATCTGATGAGTTGATGACGATACAAGCCACACACACACAAGTTACGACCTAATGGCGTATTCATCATACGCTGATTAAGTTAGTATCGAACGAGGAAGGGAGCGATTTTTGCGTAAATTACGATCACCTAATGAAGCGATCGTAGGAGTGGGTGAAGCCATTCTGATTTACGAGTTTTTTTTAATACGTGTCGTAAATTCGCTCTGAAATACGGGGATTGGGGGGGGGGGGTGAGAGATTATGCTGGGGCGATGCTCTTACGTTTAATAATGAATAACCATGGACAGTTTATTTGTCCAGTTTGGGGGTTTTTGTTTCGTTTTGTTGTTTGCCTTGCTTCTCTACGTGCAATAAACTACGAGATTATACAAAAAAAAAAAAACTGATGTTGCAAAACTATGTCAGAGGCGACTGTAGAGAGAGATTATGATCGATGCGACTATAGACGAATTGATCGACGTTTGTGAGCTGATTGATCGACGTTTGAGAGTTTGATCGACGTTGGTAGATGATTGATCGACGTTGGTAGATGATTGATCGACGTTGGTAGATGATTGATCGACGTTTGAGAGTTTGATCGACGTTGGGAGACGATTGATCGACGTTTGAGAGTTTGATCGACGTTGGGAGATGATTGATCGACGTTTGAGAGTTTGATCGACGTTGGTAGATGATTGATCGACGTTGGTAGATGATTGATCGACGTTGGTAGATGATTGATCGACGTTGGTAGATGATTGATCGACGTTGTGAGAGAGAGGAAGAAGGGTAGAAGGGAATCATCAGGGGGAAAGCACCAAGCCATTACGTGTATATAGCACTTGGAAGGAATCAGGATAAGGAGTTGGAATGAGACGGAGGGGAGAAAGGAATGGTGCCCAACCACTTGGACGCTCGGGGATTGAACGCCGACCCGCAAGAGGCGAGACCGTCGTCACTCTACCGTCCAGCCCAAATGAGGGGAATCGAAGGGGGTAGTTTGGGGACGGGTATTGAGAGGAATTGAGGGATATTAGGTATATATATATATCTGTCAGGTGGCAGAGTAACCATAGCCCGTGCGGAGGCTCACCATAGCCTGTGCTACTTGCCCCGCTCCTGTGCCAGGTAAGTCCACTACGGGCTCACCATAGCCTGTGCTACTTGCCCCGCTCCTGTGCCAGGTAAGTCCACTACGGGCTCACCATAGCCCGTGCTACTTGGAACTTTTTGTTCCCAGTAGCTGAATCTAAAACAACATGGCAGAGTAAAGAAGAACAGTTACAGCCCCGCTCCTGTGCCAGGTAAGTCCACTACGGGCTCACCATAGCCCGTGCTACTTGGAACTTTTTGTTCCCAGTAGCTGAATCTAAAACAACAACAAGAGGGAGGAGGAAGAAGGAAAGTTGGCATATAATTAACAACAAAATAAACTGGAGGAGCCTATTGACAAGCACCATTAAGCTAGACGTCTTAAAGAACCATAAAGTCTTGCACTCTGACGGAAATAAATTCCTGAGGCACGACAGTCAGAGCCCCCGAGTATGGAGCTCCAGTTTCATGCTGGTGGAGGAGGGGAGGCTGAGGGGGGTGGGAGGGGGGGGGGGTTGGAAAGGTGAGGGAGGGGGAAGAGGGAAGGGGAGATAAGGGAGAGGGGGGATATGGCTGACTCTGTCTCCTTAAAACAATGAGCTCATCATATCTTACCATCTACCAAATGCACTCAAATGCCTCTGTCAGATTGACTCGATTCAAACCTCTCGATTCACTTTCATTTTCACCCCCCCCCCCACACACATTTTACCTTATAGTCCCCTCCCCCCCCCTCTACCCCCACTCCATAATTTCCATAAATTTCCCTTCGAATTTCCATGTGATTTCCCTGCTTACCAGATCTATGATCAAGCCATCTCTACCAGGTATACCCGCAGCAAAGATTTTTGTATACAATAATAATCATAATAATAATAATAATAATAATAATAATAATAATAATAATAATAATAATAATACATAAAGAAACAACATTAACG